GGTGGGGCAGAGGCTAGTGGGAGCAAGTAGAAGGGTATCCAGTCTGCAGGCCAGATGTTGGCACCTCTTTGTTAGAGGGGGCTCTGATCTGGGCTCAGAGCAGGGATCCTGTGAGATAAAGGAACACACAAACTGCTGTGAACTAGAGGGGCAGAGAGGAGGAATCCAAACATAGTGCCTCACTCCCACTCCCTCCAGCTGTACATGCCAGGGTCAGTGTCTTCCCTCACGGCTCTGACCTTCTCAAGGCCCTGACCTTCTCAAGGCCACCCTCAGCCTCTTGTCAGCAGCCCCACCCTCCTAAAGGCCCAAGTCCCCTCTGCTCTAGCTGGCATATTTCAGCTGCCCCCACTTGGGGAACTCATTCCCCAAAGAGCTCCCACCACATGGGCCTGTAATCTGAGTCAAATACAGCAGAACCTCTTCCAGGGATCCCTACCCCCATCTTCATCTCTTTTCAGCTCAGCTTCCCTGGCTAACCTCTGATGTTTACAAAGCTTGTAAACGTGTGGGGGTGGAGGAAGGACTTGAACTGACCCCTTGGGCTGTGCTGTGATTCAGAGTCCTAAAGCTTTAGGAGTTTAGCAAGAGCAGTTCCTTGCTTCTAGTGAAGGAGACAAGGTGTAAAGTCTAAGCCAGCCCCCACATTCCCTGACCATCCTAGAGATCCTGCCACCAATACCCCTTCCTCCATATGGGGCAGCCCTAGAGTTCCATTCATGGCCCAGGCTCATTGCTCACTTCAATCCATTCTGTGGAACTGGAGTCGCCTATCATGTGCAGCAGCAGACCCAGAGGGGAAACTGGGATCTAAGAATAAAAGAAACATAAAGCACCTACTATGTGCTAGGCTGAGCTGGATTCTGGGCAGCAAGAGCATGAAGCCAAGCATTTCAGCCCTCTCACCTACCCCTCCTTCCCAGGAGGAACCCCCAGATGCACACAGCAGTCACACTATCTGTCCCAAAGTGAGCAAGACTTGGGTCTTGAACCCATAGCTGACTCCCCAGTCCCTCCAGAGGCCTGATTCAGGAAGGAGGGTGCAATCTTGCTGGGCACTGTCAGCAAGAAAGCCTTCAGACATATTTATAGCAAATGCTGCATCAGGGGATGGAATCTCAAAGTGCCTCAAAGCATCAAATAACACCATGAGCCCAGAGACAGAGGCCAGAAAAAGAAGACACTGCAGCAGGAGGGACTGAGGTTTGATGTTGGAGGAACTTCCCCCAGAGTAATATCTGGAACTGGCAATGGGGATTCCCTGTGGAAGCTACTTCCGCAGGATTTTCTCAGAAGATAAGAGGTAGGTATCTTTTTCTGGTCTAGGTAGAAAAGATATAAAGGGATGGACATGGTGATCTCTATCTTTGTAGTGCACAGACCTTCATACACCAGGGCCACTAAGCACAGTTGTGCAGATTATGCCTTGCTGAGGAGGCAAATGGAGATTGAAATCCAGCTCTAGATCAGTTACCTCCTGCTGCAGAGCAGTGTCCTTCACAGACTAGACAGAGTGGCTAGCAGGGGCCCTGCCAGATGTCCCAAGTCCTGACCACCTGAGGGTCTGAGGACAAGGTGAGCAGGGAGAAGGGATGAAGGTTGCCTGGGAAGCCATGGGGGCCTGTATGCTAGGGCTCAAGGCCCATTTGGGCCAAGCTAGGGGCCATAGCTCCCAGGAATGGATCCACGCTAGAGGGTCCTCTCAGCAGGTCACATCACAGAGAAGGGCTTAGGAGATGGCAGTTCTGGGGACCTGGAGGCTGGGCTGTGGCTCTAGCTCTGAAGTTCCTACCTTCTCTGCAAAGCAGCAGATGGAGAAGAGGCCTGTGGTCCAGCAGCTGGGGTGGAGATGAGAAAAGCAAGGGGTGTGGAACCGCCCCTGTGCATCTCAGATTTTCTGTGATAGGCTCATGGAGGAGTAATTTTTTTTTTTTTCTTTTTTTTGAGACAGAGACTCTGTTGCTCAAAGTCTGAAGTGTAGTGGTGCAATCTCAGCCTGCCTCCCAAGTTAAAACAATTCTCTGCCTCAGCCTCCCAAGTAGCTGGGACCACAGGCGCGCAGTACCATGCCCAGCTAATTCTTACATTTTTTGTAGAGACAAGATTTCACCATGTTGGCCAGGCTGGTCTTGAACTCCTAGCCTCAAGTGTTCTGCCCACCTCAGCCTCCAAAGTGCTGGGATTATAGGCGTGAACCTTGGTGCCAGCCTCAGGGAGAAGTAATTGATATTTCTATTTTAAAGTGGAAGGTGGGCCGGGCACGGTGGCTCATGCCTGTAATCTTGGCACTTTGGGAGGCTGAGGCAGGCAGATTACTTAAGGTCAGGAGTTGGAGACCAGCCTGCCTAACATGGTGAAACCCGTTTCTACTAAAAATACTAAAATTAGCCGGTCGTGGTGACGTGCCTGTAGTCCCAGCTACTTCGGAGGCTGAGGCAGGAGAATCGCTTGAATCCTTGAATCCGAGGCAGGAGAATCGCTTGAATCCTTGAATCCGGGAGGTGAAGGTTGCTGTGAGCCGAGATCGTGCCATTGCACTCCAGCCTGGGGGACAGAGTGAGATTCCGTCTCAAAAAATAATAATAATAATAATAATAATAAATAAATAAATAAAAATGAAGTGGAAGGTGGAGAGATAGTTTCTAGGCTATAGGTTCAGGCAGAGAATGTGGAAGGAGGGAAGGAGCGGGAAGCCAGGGACAACTGCTTAGCTGGGCCAACACCCCCTCTCCCCCCCACCTCCCTTCTCCTATGGAAACTTAAGCTGCCTCGGGGCCCAGAGGAGCTAGTCCATTAGCTGTGGTCAGCAGGGGAGTGTAGGTGGGGAGGGCCCTCTCTCCCTCCAGGTCTTCTTGCCAAATGAAAGGCAAAGCGTTTGCTCCCTCTGTTAGTCAAAAAACAAAGCAAAACCGTAAAACACACACACACATAACCTCTTTCTCTCCTCTGAATGGTCGAAGCTGAGCAACTTGGGGGTGGGTAGGTGGTAGGGGCTCCTTGATCCACTAGACTAGACTAT